GATGCAATGCGACATTATTTTCCGGACAACCTAATAGATAGAAGCAGGAGAATAAAATCACTTCAATTCTGGTCATTACAGTTTAGGCCGCTAAAAATCTAAAACATGCAACGAAATTAGGAGCTAGCTCAGTATAAGTCTTTTGATCACTCCTTTAAGCAGTGTGCTATAAATGAGCATCTCTGTTAAGAGTCATGACACCTTTCAAACTTTACTCATTAAGTACAAAACCCCAATCTACACTTGTGCGAAAAAATAGAGTTCTTTGATTCAATATCGAGAAAAAGGAAAAGGACATATGTGGGCCAATGCAAATCCAACGGTAACCTTGAACCTTCTCGCCATCTTTACTCTGCCTGCGAATCTTCTCGATTTTCAGATCGGGCCTCAGACTCAGCCAATTAGTTTGAAACTTTTCATTAGTGTTTAAACCTAGCACTAATAGTGCCCTAAAAATCTTAGCGCTGCAGCTTTCCTACAACTCGAGTCGAGCTCAGGAGTTCACAGTGTTAGAAATCCTGGATTTCACGAACCGATGAAGTCCAAAAAATTTCGGATAGTAAGTAGTTAGTATAATAGCATGTCTGCCAAATTTGACCTTCAGCTTATTTTGAGCCGAGTTCTAAGTTCGCGAAGTTTCGTGCAATATATTGCATGGTCAGTACCCTGAAAATGAGTTGAAGCAAAACTAATTGAAAACTTACTCTTTATCATTATCAAACATCGTCTAACCAGTTTGTCAATGCGTTTATAATACGAATACTTCGTCAGCCATGGCTGTTCGAAATTGTGTCATCATCTCAGTTTTTTTCAACAGATATATTCAAATAAATTCAATATTCATTCTTCATTATAATGAAATTACTTCCGCGGATCGCCGCCTTCTCAACAGACAACTCATTGGGCTGAACTCGCAGTCATTCCAGTAGCCAGCATCCCTCTTTGACGCAACCGAATCGAACCATTGCATGTCAGGTACATCACGCATCTGAAAGCGCTTCTCATGTAGTTGTCTGGTGTTTGCGGGATACTGGAAAACGTTAAATCGATTCACAGTCTACCATCTCATAGAATGAAATTCCGTCAAATTTAGCCTAACGATAAGGTACGCACTGCGCTCTAATCACTCAATCCGCTTAGTACACTTCACTCACGTCTCTATTGGCCAAGACAGTAAGCTGACCAATAGCGAAGCGGATTTCCACCCGATCCACTTGATGCACTTCGCTATTGGTCAGTCCACTGATTCAATCAATAGCAAAGTGGGTGAAGTTTATCAAGTGAATCAAGTAGATCGAGTGTGGTGCATGTCTATGAACACATCCAAAGTTCCAATCACCACGCGGTTTAACGAGTTACCAGTTATCAAAATCAACACTTATAGCGCACATTTGCTTAGTATAATAACTTCTGCAGCAAAGATGATAAATACCATATTTTCTAGATTCAGAATGCTTGATGAATGAATGATGATTGGAGTAATGCCAGATCGCGTGGTGACTGGAAATACTTAGGTATGCCTGAGGCCTAAACGCATTCGCACGCTGTCAAACGAAAGCAATTCCTCCTAAGACAAAATTCTGAACGTTATACTCGAAGCCTCAGAAAATTAGCCCATAAAATTGAACCATGCGGAGTGAGAATTTATTGGACAATGCAACATTGATAGGTCAAAACCAACTCAAATGAACGTAACTTTTTTCCATAGATTACATACACCTTCAGATTTATAAAAAAGGATAGAACAACATAGTTCAAGGGCAAAAGATTTTCATCAAGAGTGTATCGAATCTGGCAAGATATAGAAGAGAAAACGTGAAAATCGCAAGCAAAAGAAATTTTGTATTCATGGATATTCATGTAAGCTCAAAATGGATAAATGCGCACAATTAATAGGCATGAACAAAGATCAAAAAATTCGTTATTCACATCACTAAATACATGGCGATAGAAAGCAAGATCATGATATCATGTGAAAACACTTGAGGCTATGCTTCGTTAACTGGGTTCCCAATCAGTCATTCAACGAATTTCTCAGGTAAAATCTTTCTTTTTTTAGAAGGAAGCATACCTGTAACCTGCCGGATACGGTGACCAATGTAGCACACAGCAGAATCAACCACGGTGCGATCATAACTAAGAGGAAGGCGAGATGTAGAGTGAGGAGAATGTGCCCGAAGGCCACACCCCCTCCTCAACCACATCGCTTTAAGTACCTTCGTCAACGTAATGGCATGTAGAACATTGGGTGTAGCAAGCTGTATGATACAATAATAAGCGAGGGAGAAGAGACATGTGACTT